TCACGTTCGTCGGATCGGATTGGATGAATTAATTGAACGATTGCCCGGCTGATCGATCGATTCATTGATTGATTGGGTGCTTGCTTGATGATTGTTTGATTACTTGACTGCTTGATCATGTTGATTTGTGGATCCCGATTGGAGATATTAACTGAACGCGTGCCTGGTGATCGGTCGATTCATTGCTTGATTGGGTGCTTGCTTGACGACTGCTTGATTGCTTGATAGCTAATCAATTCCTTGCTTGATGATTGCTTCATTACTTGATCGCTAATCAATTCCTTGATTTGCTTTATCAATTGCTTGCCTGATTGCTTGATCAATTACTTGAATGTTTGCTTGATTACTTGATTGATTGCTTGATTGGTTGATTACTTGATTGATTACTTGATTGATTGGTTTATTGATTGATTGGTTTATTGATTGATTGATTGTGGCCTTCATGTCGCCACGAAGTTTAGACTATGTCATGTAAGACGTCGTGTCTTTCTCTGAATTTGAAAAGATTTGATAACGATCGCTATTCTTGCGTAATTTGCTCATAATAGTGTGTTTTTGATAGAGCTTATTTCTATGACACCAAGTGTATGTCCGTTGAACCCTCTCCTCCTCCTCCTTGGAAATATTTGTCATCCTATTGCAGGATTCTGCCCTGTGCTGGCCAGCGTGAACCCTTGACTGTTTATCTTTGTGTTCTGGACAGCACGGCCTCCCCTCCCTMCCCCCCCCCCCTCCTCCACCAACCCGAATAAAACGTACGGTCATTACAGTCGTATCTAGACTGAAATGTGACCCAGATTCAGCTATAATAACCGTACGTTTGACTCGGACGACGAAGCTAGGAACAGATGGCCCCTCGCTCGCTGTTGTTCCTTCATGTTGTAAGAATAGGCTGAGTGGCGCTGTTGTTCTGCTGGTCTGGCCCGTTTACGTGTTCTTATGTCACGCCCACTGTTTTCCAGTTTTGGTGATCTACCCTCTCGTCTACCCGCTTATCTATGGGTCTACCCCTCTCGCCATTATTTAGTGGGGGTCGCGTGTTGCTTATATATCTACCCCGCTCATCTATCCCCTTTTCAGGGCTCATTGTTATCCGGCTTGCTCTGCCTTTTGCTGTTCTGCCCCTCTTATATATAGCCGCTTATCCGTTCGTCCAGTACGCGTATCACCATTGTGAAGCATGCCCTGCCTGTCGCTTATCTGAACTCTTATCTATCTCCCTTAACCCACTCGCTGTCATCCGGGGCGTGGTGCCACTAGCAAAGAGGATCGGGTAGAATGCTGGAATCTGGACGTGTTCGTTCAAAGGGTGCAGAAAATCGAGATTGAACTGCTTTTATGCATCTGTGCTTAAAAGACATCCAGATTCAGGAGCTCGATCCTATCCTTTTTGCTAGTGGGACCTCGGCCCCGGTGTTATCTGGCTTTTGCTATTCTGCCCCTCTCATGGAGCCCCTTATCTTTCAGTTTACACCTATCACTGTAATGTACCTGTTGCGGATCTATCCCGCTCATCTGTTCCCTTCAGTCCGCTCAATAGTATCCGGTTTTCTGTGTCTTTTGCCGTTTTGCCCTTCTCATGGAACAACTTAGCTTTCAGTCTACCACTATCACCGTTATGTAGCATGATCTGGTTTTTGCTTATCTACCCCGCTCATCTATGCCCGTTACCCCCTAACCCCCCGCTCGCTCTTTTCCACTACGTTGTATTAATCAATTGCCTGCTGCTGTTGTTTCAAGTCAATCATCTGTCCCGCTTTCATGACTGTCCACCCTGTTCACTGGTGTCCAATGTACCCCGCCTTATTTGCTGTTCTACCCCTCTCATCTACCTCCTTACATGTCTGTCTACCCCTCTCAGTGTTATCCAGTGCGCTCTGTCTTTTGCTGTTCTTACAAGCCCCTTCTATTCTGGGGAGACAGGGGGAGGTAGCAGCTAGAAGAGGAGAACCTTGCCCTTTTTGCTGTTCTACCCCGCCAATCTACCGGCTTATCTATGTATCTGCCCTTCTCACTTACCGGCTTGTCCATCCTGCTCAGCTATTACCCTTATCCTCCACGTCCCCGCGCGATGTTTTCCGTTATCATGTTGTACTAATGACGTGATTCCGGTCAAATGCATCCAGGTCTGGCCTTGATTTCTGTCTAATACATTTAGAAAAGTCGTATGTGGTATGAGTTTGCACTCACTCCTCCATCCTTATCCGGATTCAATATACTTTTCCGCTCATTTCATATTGCAATTT